TCCACAGAGGAACTCTAGAGCTCTGTCAGCGTGACCATCAGGTTCTTGGTCACCTTCGTGACCAAGGCCCTTCTCCCCCGATTGCACAGTTTGGCCGGTCTTGATGGTTCCAAACTTCTTCCATTTCAGAATGATGGAGGCCACTGTGTTCTTGGGGACCTTCAATGCTGCAGACATTTTTGGTACCCTTCCCCAGATCTGTGCCTCGACACAATCTTGTCTCTGAGCTCTACGGACAATTCCTTCGACCTCATGGCTTGGTTTTTGCTCTGACATGCACTGTCAACTGTGGGATCATATATAGGCAGGTGTGTGCCTTTCCAAATCATGTCCAATCAATTGAATTTACCACAGATGGACTCCAATCAAGTTGTAGAAACATCTCAAGGATGATCAATGGAAACAGGATGCACCTGAGCTCATTTTCGAGTCTCATATCAAAGAGTTTGAATACTTATGTACATGTGATATTTCCGTTTTTTTTATTTTTTTATATGTGCAAACCCCGTATAACTTGTTTTCGCTTTGTCATTATGGAGTATTGTGAGGATTTTAGAATAAGGCTGTAACAAACAAAATGTTTAAAAAAGGGAAGTGGTCTGAATACTTTCCGAATGCACTGTAGCTACCTCTCCTCAGCAAACACCACAAAGAGAAATAGTGATAGCGGTTAGTGCGCTGTTACTGCAGACCAGAGCAATACATCGCAGACCGATGAAAAGAGAAAGCGAGGATAAATTGCAGGGAAAGAGAGGTTCAATTCCTTTTTCCCGTTCTCCTTACAAGCTGTGCTCAACTATTTTCCCCTTTACCACGAACCGGCCGTCTGCCTCTGGGGACCGGGCACAATCAAAAGCTATTTGGCAGCGGGGGGGGGGGGGGAAACAAATCATAAAATGAGGAACTGAGGAGCACTCTGGTGCGAAGCCACATTAAGCCAGTAGCTGCCTGACGCTTTACAGTGGGGATTTTTTTTTCAATCAATCAAACTCATCATGGGGGGGGGGGGGGGGGGGTCAAATTGACCTGTTTTGTCATATTTGGTCATGACCCCCATCCCTCCGCAAGTGACGTGCCTGATTTAGAGCCCTGTGCACCAAGCTCAGGGTCAGAGAGACCCTGGGTAAGTCATCACGAACAGATCGTGGGTACATTGGGTCACAGTACCTCTGGCTTTTCTCTGTTTCACAACCCACCAGGGGTTTCTCTGCGATGCCGGCACACGTCCCACTTGGAAGTCCACTTCAGTGAGTCAGCCAGCGGGGTTGCCTCTGACCCCACTCCACCTCAGGGAGGCTTGAAGTTACATACTGATTACTAGGCTAGTGACCAATCATCAAAAACACCTGTCCATGATAGGCTCACTCCACTAGTCAACATTTTCGGCAGTATTGGCTTGCATGAGCTTATGTGGCCCATCCCTTCTCGAGCCAGGCATATTCTGCACTTTTTGAGTTTAGGGGGTGTGTCACAATATCTACCAATTGAACCACTTTTGCATAAAATATTTCTACACAACCATCCATTTCATATATGGGAGACATTAGAGATGTGAAAAAAACATGGTTGTGTTTTGTTCTACCTCAGGTAGGGGTTTCAAAAAAATGTGGGGGCCTTGCCATTAGCCTATACCTAATATCTCGTGGACCGACGTACGTAACAGGATGGTATTGTAGCTACGACTAACAAAGAACTTTGTTCCGGTGTGCAGATTTTTTCACCATTGATCATTTGGACAATCACGATTTGGTGTTCGCATATTTTGAATTTTGGAAAGAGGAGGGTATATTTGGCCCATGCTTTGGGCGCGTTCCTCTGCCCAGGCATTGCTGACGCATGCCAGATCTTACAATGCCTTGATAGTTATTTTACGTATCAGCTAACCACATCATATGTTATAGCAATCTGTCAGTCGATGATTATAGGGTTTTCAAACATTAGTACACAATTTCCTTGAGCAGGTGCAGGTTTAAATAGTCATGGGGACACAGGTACATGCTTGCTTACTGGGGGGCAGTTAGAATGTTGGGCCGGTAACTGAAAGGTTGCTAGTTCGAATCCCTGAGCTGACAAGGTGAAACAAAATCTGTTGATCTGCCCTTGAGTAAGGCACTTAACCCTAATTACACCAGGGTTGCTGTCAACAATGGCTGATTCTTGGCTGTGACCCTAGTCTCAGAGGGAGTTGGGATATGCAAAAAACACATTTCCACCTCACACTTATGCAAATATAAGCACCCCCTATATACAAGAATGCAGATGTGTGTGTGCACACAACGGCTATGCATTATGCAGTCACACACTGAGGGAACCATCTCTAAATACTGCTTCTATGATTAATGATCACACAAAGCATGTGTTTGCCAAAGCCCCTGTGTGGGTCAAAACATGAGTGCCCCCTTGTGGTAGATATTGTAAATACACATACATGTTCTCTGTGCATAACACCACTTTTATGACAGGCTTCTTTCAACTGGTGCCTTGAATTAAGAGCTATTACATTTGTTGATACTTTTAGGATGAATTGGACATGAAGCCCGAAAATACTATTATAGGTACAATTGACTTGCATTGGATTTGTGCCACAAATGCTAAACAGTTAGCATTTGAAACAGTGGCCAGGTAAACAAAACCCAAGCATGGATTGCTGTCATACCTTATCCATAGACTACTTACAGGGTAAGGAAATCAATATGTCCCTTTAACAAAACGTATTAGTGTTAGCTTAATAGTAATCAACTGAGTGCACTGTTGAATAACACTAGGCTACGTTTTGTTACACTTGAATTAAATTACTTCAGTGCAATGTCTGGAATTACAATTTAATTTCCACCTGTCTGAATGTGCATAATCAAATAAACGACCTAAAACAGTTAAATGGTAAAGGACAGATTGTGTAGACACACTGCTCTGAAGCATAGTAAATGCCTGGTATGGAGAGGGTTATTTTAAGTCACATTATCTACAAGTCCTCATTTCCGTTCTGTAGATTTAGTATTACTAAAGTTGTCCAAGGTCCAACATCATTCCAAACAGAATGTCACAGAGTAGTCTAAATGACGGAAAGACTATAATTTATTAACAAAGTATTATTGCAGAAAGCGGGCATTACACACAATAATACTAACAATATACAGTGGGGAAAAAAAGTATTTAGTCAGCCACCAATTGTGCAAGTTCTCCCACTTAAAAAGATGAGAGAGGCCTGTAATTTTCATCATAGGTACACATCAACTATGACAGACAATCCAGAAAATCACATTGTAGGATTTTTAATGAATTTATTTGCAAATTATGGTGGAAAATAAGTATTTGGTCACCTACAAACAAGCAAGATTTCTGGCTCTCACAGACTTGTAACTTCTTCTTTAAGAGGCTCCTCTGTCCTCCACTCGTTACCTGTATTAATGGCACCTGTTTGAACTTGTTATCAGTATAAAAGACACCTGTCCACAACCTCAAACAGTCACACTCCAAACTCCACGATGGCCAAGACCAAAGAGCTGTCAAAGGACACCAGAAACAAAATTGTAGACCTGCACCAGGCTGGGAAGACTGAATCTGCAATAGGTAAGCAGCTTGGTTTGAAGAAATCAACTGTGGGAGCAATTATTAGGAAATGGAAGACATACAAGACCACTGATAATCTCCCTCGATCTGGGGCTCCACGCAAGATCTCACCCTGTGGGGTCAAAATGATCACAAGAACGGTGAGCAAAAATCCCAGAACCAGTGAATGACCTGCAGAGAGCTGGGACCAAAGTAACAAAGCCTACCATCAGTAACACACTACGCCGCCAGGGACTCAAATCCTGCAGTGCCAGACGTGTCCCCCTGCTTAAGCCAGTACATGTCCAGGCCCGTCTGAAGTTTGCTAGAGTGCATTTGGATGATCCAGAAGAGGATTGGGAGAATGTCATATGGTCAGATGAAACCAAAATATAACTTTTTGGTAAAAACTCAACTCGTCGTGTTTGAAGGACAAAGAATGCTGAGTGGCATCCAAAGAACACCATACCTACTGTGAAGCATGGGGGTGGAAACATCATGCTTTGGGGCTGTTTTTCTGCAAAGGGACCAGGACGACTGATCCGTGTAAAGGAAAGAATGAATGGGGCCATGTATCGTGAGATTTTGAGTGAAAACCTCCTTCCATCAGCAAGGGCATTGAAGATGAAACGTGGCTGGGTCTTTCAGCATGACAATGATCCCAAACACACCGCCCGGGCAACGAAGGAGTGGCTTCGTAAGAAGCATTTCAAGGTCCTGGAGTGGCCTAGACAGTCTCCAGATCTCAACCCCATAGAAAATCTTTGAAGGGAGTTGAAAGTCCGTGTTGCCCAGCGACAGCCCCAAAACATCACTGCTCTAGAGGAGATCTGCATGGAGGAATGGGACAAAATACCAGCAACAGTGTGTGAAAACCTTGTGAAGACTTACAGAAAACGTTTGACCTGTGTCATTGCCAACAAAGGGTATATAACAAAGTATTGAGAAACTTTTGTTATTGACCAAATACTTATTTTCCACCATAATTTGCAAATAAATTCATTAAAAATCCTACCATGTGATTTTCTGGATTTTTTTTTCTTATTTTGTCTGTCATAGTTGACGTGTACCTATGATGAAAATTACAGGCCTCTCTCATCTTTTTAAGTGGGAGAACTTGCACAATTGGTGGCTGACTAAATACTTTTTTCCCCCACTGTATATAGATAAATATGCGGATACCCAACTGTCATAGTCGAGTCCATGCTTTGTTTATCTCCGTTTTCTCATGTGCTTTAAGCTACAATGCTTAGCTGTCCGAGTCCCCAAGGTAGTTAGTTGATAAAGCCGTTCTCATAGACTCCGACTGGAACTGACTGATGCATCAGCGGGCACCTATGACATTTTACTTTCTGCTCTATGAGGCACTGAGTACCGTGACGTCCTGAGAGGGAGGGCTCAGCTTTCAGCTTAAATATCCGGCGCTCTCCGTAGTTCAGACAGACGCAACAGAGCGCACTGAGAAATACTGAACGATAGCCTACTGTTGAATCCAACTTTGGCTGAATCTATCAAACGAAACGAAGAGTCCGCACACATTGGACTCACTCTAAGCAACTGTTTAGGCTACTTTATAATCATGATCAAGAAAACGTCCCCTTCCGATAACGATTTCGATATCCCGGCGAAGAATTGCTGTAGGATGGTGATTTTGGGATCCACCAAGGTGGGCAAAACAGCCATCGTGTCCCGGTTTCTGAACGGTAGATTCGATGAGGAGCAGTACACGCCGACCATCGAGGACTTTCACAGGAAACTGTATAGCATTAAGGGAGATGTATACCAACTGGACATATTGGATACCTCAGGCAACCACCCGTTCCCTGCTATGAGGAGACTATCCATACTGACAGGTAAATATTCCATCTCCAGTTATTGCGACTCAAAACGTGCATGTCCAATAGCAATCTGCAGTCGTGCATTTTAGTAACCTCAAGGGTGTGTGCACTGTGCGCGCATTTTGCATTGGCTGCACAACGCGCCACAGGTGCCATTACGCATGGAAATACTGTAGCCTATGTCAATGTGTTTCTTAGAAGCTCTGATACTAAATGCGTTGCTCCTCTTGTTTCCCTTCAGGTGATGTCTTTATCCTGGTATTCAGCATAGACAACAGAGACTCTTTCCAGGAGGTGCAGAGGCTCAAGCAACAGATAGTTGAGACCAAGTCGTGCCTGAAAAACAAGACCAAGGAGAAGATTGACGTTCCTCTGGTTATCTGCGGAAACAAGGGCGACCGGGAGTTTTACCGGGAGGTGCAGAATGAAGAGATTGAGCAGTTGGTGGCGGGAGACGAGCACTGCGCATACTTTGAGATCTCAGCCAAGCGCAACACCAACGTGGACCAAATGTTCCAGACCCTATTCACCATGGCCAAGCTACCCAATGAGATGAGCCCGGACCTCCACCGTAAGGTCTCGGTGCAGTACTGCGACATGCTTCGCAGTAAGTCCCTGAAAAATAAGAACAAGAAGAACAATGGAGACGCGTACGGCGTCGTGGCGCCATTAGCTCGGCGCCCGAGCGTCCACAGTGACTTGATGTACATAAAGGAGAAGGCGATCGGTGGGCAGGGAAAGGATAAAGAGAGATGTACTATCAGCTAAGACTGTGAGATGAATCTTATAGAATATCTTGAAACCGAAAAGGATGTGCTTCATTTGTGATGCACCTGACAGACGGGGCTTGGGGGCGCAAGGCTGCCCATGCGGCTTACCGTCGCTCGGTAGTGGGGACACTTGAGACAGCGATGCCGAGAGCCGATGTGCTCCGGGCGCAATGACACTGTCTAGATTCAGACACTCCGCACACGTGGAAGTGCATGTCCACGAGACTTTTAAGAATGTTACTTTGTTCTGTTAAGAGCCTTATGTGATGTGGCTTAAAATCTTGTGATATTGTTCACAGATGCGTAAAATGTGTTGTTTTGACATCTACCTTTACAGACTGGCGAGAAACGAGACTCTTGGCGTGTACAATGTTAAGAATATTGTTTACATTATGTTATACATTTTATAACAGATAATTAAACTTGAATGTTGCAATCTGAACAATTTTATATTGTGAATGTATATTTTGTGTCAGTCAACTTTTGCAAAAAAAAGAAAATAACTGAAATAAATAAATACAAATAATCTTAATCTTCCGTTTCTTCATGTTTTTCTTACAAGTGTTTTGAAATGGCCCACTCATCACTCCCTACACCTAGTAGTAGGTCTAGAGATCAAGGGAAACTACCTAGGCTAAGCATAAATTAATGACATAAGCTTCAATGAGCAGTTTAGCGTTAAAGACTATTGCTAGCCAAATGGTCCCCTTCCATACCACATGTTTACTGATTGATGAAGAATTTAGCCTAATTGATGTCAGAACTATAATTACCCAGTGATGGAACATACACTACATAGCCAAAAGATCGAACAGCTCATCCCAAAATCATTGGCATTAATATGGAATTGGTCCCCCATTTGCTGCTATAACAGCTCGCAGTCGACGTTCCAATTCATCCCTAAGGTGTTCGATGGGGTTGAGATCAGGGCTCTGTTCAGGCCAGTGAAGTTCTTCCACGCTGATCTCGACAAACCATTTCTGTATTGACCTCGCTTTGTGCACTGGGGCATTGTTATGCTGAAACAGGAAAGGGCCTTCCCAAAACTGTTGCCACAAAGTTGGAAGCACAGAATCGTATAGAATGTCGTTGTATGCCATAGCATTAAGATTTCCCTTCACTGGAACTAAGGAGCCTAGCCCGAACCATGAAAACAGTCCCAGACCATTTGTATTTGTATTTATTATGGAACCCCATTAGCTGCTGCCAAGACAGCAGCTACTCTTCCTGGGGTCCAGCAAAATTAAGGCAGATATACATTTTCAAACATTACAATACATTCATAACAGATTTCGCAACATATTAAGTGTGTGCCCTCAGGCCTCTACTCTACTACCACATATCTATAACTCAAAATCCATGTGTACATGTGTGTATAGTGCATATGTTATCGTGTGTTTGTATTCATGTGTCTATGTTTGTGTTGCTTCACAGTCCCCGCTGTTCCATAAGGTGTGTTTTTATCTGTTTTTTAAATCAAATTTTACTGCTGGCATGAGTTACTTGATGTGGAATATAGTTAAATGTAGTCATGGCTCTATGTAGTACTGTGTGCCTCCCATAGTCTGTTCTTGATTTCGGGACTGTGAAGAGACCTCTGGTGGCATGTCTTGTGGGGTATGCATGGGTGTCCGAGCTGTGTGCCAGTAGTTCAAACAGTGCATTCAACATGTAAATACCTCTCACAAATACAAGTAGTGATGAAGTCAATCTCTCCTCTTCTTGGAGCCAGGAGAGATTTACTTGCATATTATTAATGTTAGCTCTCTGTGTACATCCAAGAGCCAGCCATGCTGCCCTGTTCTGAGCCAATTGCAATTTTCCTAAGTCCCTCTTTGTGGCACCTGACCACACGACTGAACAGTAGTCCAGGTGCGACAAAACTAGGGCCTGTAGGACCTGCCTTGTTGATAGTGCTGTTAAGAATGCAGAGCAGTGCTTTATTATAGACAGACTTCTCCCCATCCTAGCTAGCTAGTGTTGTATCAATATGTTTTGACCATGACAGTTTACGATCCAGGGTTACTCCAAGCAATTTAGTCTCAACTTGCTCAATTTCCACATTATTCATTAAATGATTTAGTTGTTATTCCTCCTCCACCAAACTTTACAGTTGTCTCTATCCATTCGGGCAGGTACCATTCTCCTGGCATCCGTCAAACACAGATTTGTTTGTCGGACTGTCAGATGGTGAAGCGTGATTCATCACTCCAGAGAATGTGTTTCCACTGCTCCACAGTCCAATGGTGGCAAGCTTTACACCACTCCAGCCAACGCTTGGCATTGCGCATGGTGATCTTAGGCTTGTGTGCGGCTGCTCGGCTATGGAAACAGGCGATTTTTACACGGGACGCGCTTCAGCACTCAACGGTCCCGTTCTGTGAGTTTGCGTGGCCTACCACTTCGCCGCTGAGCCGTTGTTGCTCCTAGAAGTTTCCACCTCACAATAACAGCACTGACAGTTGACCGGGGCAGCTCTAGCAGGGCACACATTTGACTGATTGACTTGTTGGAAAGGTAGCATCCTATGACGGTGCCACGTTGAATGTCACTGAGCTCTTAAGTACGGGCCATTCTACTGCCAATGTTTGTGTATGGAGATTGCATGGCTGTGTGCTCGATTTTATACACCTGTCAGCAACGGGTGTGGCTGAAATAGCCAAATCCACTAATTTGAAGTGTTTTTAAAGGGACATGCACTTTCCCAGCTTTTTTCACCTTTTGCTTAAAAAAAAAAAAATAGGCCTACATACTAGAATAAATATATGTTTTTTATAGGCCTACATACTACAATTGTAACAATGTACGCTGGGAGTCGGGAAGCAAGTACAGGGAGTGCATTTAATGATAAATAAACATGGAACAAAACAAGAGTAGCGTCCAGACAGGAACAGAGTAACAGAATCAATAACGCCTAGGGAAGGAACCAAAGGGAGTGACATATGTAGGGGAGGTAATCAGGAAGGTGATGGAGTCCAGGTGAGTCTGATGAGGCGCTGGTGCGCGTAACGATGGTGACAGGTGAGCGTAATAAAGAGCAGCCTGGTGACCTAGAGGCCAGAGGGGGAGTATACGTGACAACGATAAATATATATTTTTTATAGGCCTACATACTACAATAACTACAGTGCCATGAAAAAGTATTTGCCCCTTTTTAAAATGTCTCTACTTTTGCATATTTGTGATACTGAATGTTCAATCTTCAACCAAAACCAAATATTAGATAAAGGGAACATAAGTGAACAAATAACACAACAATTACATATTTATTTCATTTATTTCATAAACAAAGTTATGCAACACCCAATTCCCCTGTGTGAAAAAGTATGCATTGACTCCAACCAAATGCTTCCTGTAGTTGTTGATCAGTCTCTCACGTCGCTGTGGAGGAACTTTGGCCCACTCTTCCATGCAGAACTGCTTTAACTCAGTGATGTGTGGGTTTTCAAGCATGAACTGCTCGTTTCAAATCCTGCCACAACATCTCAATTGGGATTAGGTCTGGACTTTGACTAGGCCATTCCAAAACTTCAAATTTGTTGCTTTTTAGCAATTTTCATGTAGACTTGATTGTGTGTTTTGGGTCATTGTCTTGCTGCATGACCCAGCTGCGCTTCAGTTTCAGCTCACAGACAGATGGTCTGACATTCTCCTGTAGAATTCTCTGATACAGAGCTGAATTCATGGTTCCTTCTATTAAGGCAAGTCGTCCAGGTCCTGAGGCAGCAAAGCATCCCCAAACCATCACACCACCACCACCATGCTTGACCTTTGGTATGATGTTCTTACTGTGGAATGCAGTGTTTGGTTTTTGCCAGGCATAATGGGACCCATCTCGTCCAAAAAGTTGACTCAAGTTTGCCAAAAAGCACCTGGATGATCATCAAGATGTTCTATGGACAGATGATTCAAAAGTATAACTTTTTGGACGACATGGTTCCAGTAATGCCTGGCGAAAACCAAACTCTGCATTCCACAGTAAGAACATCATAACAAAGGTCAAGCATGGTGGTGGTTGTGTGATGCTCAGCCCTTTTTCCCAAACCTTTACCGTGTGTTCAAAAATAAACCTTTTATATTTGACAGTAGTTTATGGTTGTCGTGTAGTTTTTGTTCTCACTGTTCCATGGTTGCTGCTCCTGTAAGCCCATCGGTGTCTGAGGATGAGGCTAAGGCTCCAGCCACATTTCCCCGTTTTGACCCACTCTCCCCACTGACTGACAGTGATGCCAGGATGGATGTCCGCTCGACACGGCTCCAAATGGAGGCGGAAGAGCGGGCACAAATCAGGCTAGACAAGCTGGAGACGCGTAAGATGGAACAGGAGACGCGTAAGCTAGAGGCAGAACAGGAGACGTGTAAGCTAGAGGCAGAACAGGAGACGCGTAGGCTTGATCAAGAACTGGAGATGCGTAAAATGGAACTGGAGGCAGAAACAGCGAGGATAGTCTCTGCTCATACTATGCCTGCTAGTGAGCCGTCCTCACCAGCTGTGTCGTCTGCTACTTTTGATATTAGTACACAGATCACCTTGGTACCTGTGTTTAGGGAGTCAGAGGTTGATTCCTATTTCAGTGTTTTTGAACGTATAGCAGTAGCATTGAAATGGCCCGAAGAGGTATGGTGCCTATTACTTCAGTGTAAATTAACAGGTAAAGCCCAAGAGGTTCTGGCAGCGCTACCTCTTGAAGACAGCTTGATTTATGACGTGGTCAAAGCTACTGTTCTTCGTGCCTATGAGCTTGTTCCTGAGGCATATCGACAGAGATTTAGGTCTCATAAAAAGGCTTCTACACAGACTTATGTGGAGTTGGCTAGAGACAAAGGAAATCTGTTTGACAAATGGCACAGCTCTAGTAAGGTAACTGATTTTAACTCTCTACGGGAGTTAATCTTGTTAGAAGAGTTTAAAAATTGCTTACCCGAACGCATTGTAGTTTATCTGAACGAACAGAAAGTATCCTCACTGTCGGAATCATCTGTATTGGCAGACGAGTTTGTGTTGACGCAGAAGAGCGTGTTTTCGGCTCGTACGGAGAGCAGGGCCGCAGAGTTGCTAACTTTTAGTCCTAGTCAACCAGCAGTACATCCAGCACGCCCAAAAGATGTGCGTCACTGTTTCTATTGCCATAAGGTGGGACATATGGTTAATGATTGATTCTGCTTGAACACAAACAGGGGATGCCTCAGCACGCCAGGCCGCCAACGGGTGTTGGGCTGATTCGTACGGTTGTAAGGCCGGA